TGTTAGAGGTGCACTGAAATGAAAATTTCAAACCAAAAAAAAAAAAATGTCAGGCTGAAACCGAAAAAGTTTTTTTCCCCTAACTTTTTCAAAATTCTTTAAAATATTTTATTTGTATTTATTTTTTATAAACTTTTTAATTTCTTTATATTTTTCTTTATATATTTTTATCAAATATTTAAATTTTTTTACTTTACTGTTGGGGGCTTTGGGGAAATATTAAGGGTCTAAACAGACCCCTGATATTTTCCTTTTAAAATAGAAAAAGAGATTGAGGATTGTGTTCTTAATCTCTTTTTCTGCAGCCCCTGTTATAAATGAACAGGAATCCTCTATACTGAGTGTTCCTGTTCATTCATAACTTGTGGAGATAGTATGTTTACTGTGTCCACAATCATGAATAAACAGGAAGTGATTTAGATCACTTCCAATTATTCATAATTGGGGACACAGTAAACATACTATGTCTTCAATTATTTATAAACACTCAATGATCAGTGATCGCTGAGTGCTTGTACCCACTCTCCATCCTGACTCGCAGTCACAGGAGGCAGAGCGGTGCGGGGAGGAGAGCTAAATCTCTGACATCTGACTTCTCCCCCGCACCGCCGGCCCGTCTCCTGTGACAGCGGTCTCCACCCCCAGACCGCTCTTCTGATCTGTCACAGAAGGCTGAGCGGGGAGGGGAGCTCAGTCTCCTGTGACAGCGTTCACAGCTGTCTCCGCCCCCACACCGCGCCACTCTCCTAATCTGTCACAGGAGGCTGAGCGGTGCAGGAGGAGAGACACTGGCAGCTCACAGCGAAAGATGGCCGAATATTTAGGATATATTTCGCCGGCCGAAATTTTCGGTGCATTCCTAATTAGTGGCTCGCTGTCATAGAAAGATTCAGCAGCTGCCATCTTGCTTAACTTGCTGGTGAGCATATGCCAGGTATCAATGGGAAGAGCTTGTTACCATGGAATGGCAACCTCCCCTGTACTCACTTACAACTCATTGAAAACGCATTAAAATGCACTTTACATGTGATTCCAAAGATTTATACTGGACTCAAATCCATGAAAATGCATTGAAAAATGGACATGCCTCATTTTTACAAATGGAAAAAAAAAATTACATTTTTCCATTGGCTTTTGTCTAAGAAGCCGGGTGTATGGTGTATGGCCAGCTTAAATCAGTCTACCATTCTATAAGCCTCTTGTAGTTCCTGGTACAGCATGATTGAGACAGAAGGCGGTAGGGTCAATCAAGCTTCCAGAATATATGAAATGCTGGTTGGGGCGAGCATAGGTTGATCTCATTGAGTGTGTTGCTGCTCCTTCATTATCCAATCACAGTCTGGGATGGTCATTGACCAAGCTGTATTCCTTTAGCCTCCATAAAGAAAACTTGACAGTGCTGGGTTAGAAAACTAGCTGAACAGGTAAGAAATTCAAACATAATCCAGTTGTGAGATTGAACATTAAAAAAATGCAGTTGTCTTATCTTTCCTTTGATTAATGGGTATTTAGTAATAGGAGAAGTTCATAGTGCATTCTGCCTCTAGCACTTCTACATCAATCTCTATAGGCCGCTTCTGTATGCGCCAGACCCTGCAGTTTGCTACATTCATAGGATTCTAAAGACTGCAGGAAAGCTGCACAGTCCTATTCAAGGCTTAGAAGGTACCCGTGTTTTAAGATGGCAGTATCTCCATAAAGCATACTATACTAAAGTACAGCTGTCAAATCAAATGCATAGAATTAACATATGGTAATATCCACAGCTCATAATGGTGAAGCTGAAGTTTCAATTTTTTGGGTATGTGGCACCTGGAACATAACTTACCTCTAATGAAGTATGTCTCAGGTCCTATTGGCTGATGCCTACTGTAGAAATCTTCTCTCCAGTAATGTTGGATACTCCACACACCACTGATTTTCCAACTGCAGGGGTAACAACAGCGGCAACTGTGTACAATGGCTCGCCCACCCCTTTCTCGTCTTTTGCCTTTTCATAGAATTTGTAGTATTCTTTCTACAGAATATATATATCTATAAAATGAAGCAGTAATACATGCATATTGGTACTTGAGGAGGAGGAATACGGGGACATAACACAGGGAAAGGCCAAAGGCTGAGTGCTTCAAACCACAGAGGCTATATCAATTCTCAAGTACCAATATTGTTCCAATGTTATAAATTATAATATTATGCAAGAGCCCTGCGCAACATATAACACCCCAATATTATTGTAGATTGTTTTAATGGTATCATTAGCATTAATGAGTCGGGTGCATTCTGGAAAGAGAGGAGAAGAAATGACTGGGGAAGAGTGGGAAGGAATAAAAAGAAAGGGGATAGCTGGGGGGGGGAGGGGAAAATGAAGATGGGGGGGAGGAGGTTAGGATCAGGCGGGAAGAAGGTTGGGGTGGGGCGGGTTAAGGATGGAGCGAGTGGCGTTCAGTATCGGAGGGGTGCCCCCTACAGCGTCCCTCACCCCTCGGTTGGTGGTGCAATCCCCTCAGGGTCTCATCTCAGTTCCAGGTATTCAGGGGATAATATGAATTCCATCCAGGGGAACCATGTGTGGGCAAAGGGTATGGTGGTATTTTTGATTGAGCTTGTGAGGTCTTCCATCAGGTAAGTATCATGGATGCGGTCCAGGACCTGTCCCAAGTGGGGCGGAGTAGGTTTCTTCCAAAGAGGGGGGATACATGCCCGGGCCGCATTGACAATGTGTTTGAGAAGGGAGCGGGTGTAGGAGCGCGCCGAGATGGTATTGTGGTGCAGTAGGAAGAAGGCCGGGTCTAGGGGTACCTGACAATCCGTGAATTTCTGGGCCAGGGCCTGAACTTGGCTCCAGAACCGCTTGAGGATTGGGCAGGACCAGAAGATGTGGAGCATATCTGCTGCGGGTTGTTGGCATTGCCAGCAGAGATCAGAAGAGTCAGGGAATAGCAGGTGTAAAGTGGATGTGGACGTGTTGGCCCGGTGGGGTGTGG